ATATATATATATATATATGTATAGACTGGTCGACTGTGATGCATTAAAACATTTTTAAAAAATGATCAAATGGAGTTTTGTTATATTTATCACCTGTAATAACGCTTTAGGTATGGACAATAATTTATGTCCTATCTACTTCAGTCTACGTAGCTTCCAGGCTGCATGATTGCAAGTTGAACGTGCCTGACCTTGAGAACCAAGATTAAATGATCTCAACATGAAAACCACAAACTTTATTAAGTATGAGAACGCAATATTTTCTAATATGAATGACTCAAGAATAATCCTAAACTATTTCCGTAAACCCTTGCCATCTCGGTTATTTGTTATGAGGCATTATTTTATCTAATATATAATCCATTATAACAACTATATTGGATAATCAAATTAAATTATTTCGCAACCCAGAGAAATTGCATTAAATAGGGTTGCATAATAATAATCTATGCTTGATATCTAGCTCACTGACTTCGAGAAATATCACTTCAATCAAGGTCATTTTTGTTCACAGCTTTGAATGTTCGTATTGTTGTCACTATAATGAAGCAAGCAGCGCTCGAAACTAAAAGTTCTCATTATCTTAGTGAAGAGAACAGAAACAGAATTGCATGAGCACACAAACTGGGATTTTCGATATCAAATCTTGCCCAATGTTTTAGTGTTAACAAAAGCACCATTTACGGGATGATCCATGAAAAAACAACAACCAGAACAGCTTGTGAGGGTCGTAAACCGAGTACATCCAAACAGGAGGACGACCTGATTCGTATTACTCTGAAAAAAAGATTGCAGAAAATCGTTGTCGTCTATCCAACGGGAAGATGTTCCCCGCCATGGATACTCCCACAAAGAAAAATGAAAAAAATTAGGATGAGTCAGGTTTTAGCCTACGTCAAGCCAGCATTAAAAGCGCATTAAAGGCAGGCGCGTATTGGTTTTGCCCGAGAGTTCAAATCTCGACGTGCGTCATTTTGGCGATTAGACGTGTAGTCTCTATAGAATATTTCATAATATGTAGTATGTGAATGACTGGACAAAATTTCCCTGAAAGCGGTTAGTAGCATCTAACCCATCCACAAAACATTGAACCATAAAATTGATTCTTCAATGGACTGGCTCTGAAAGAGTTGTCTATCCACAAGTCATCCGGTGTTGCAAACAAGGTTATTGTGACGAAAATACACTTCCTGGGTACAATTATATGAATGAAGAAACAACAAATTACCGGATAGGCATGTCTGACGAGCGATAAGAATCGTTAAACTGGTCGTGTGATTCTCGGGGAATTTCGTTCGGTCATTCACATACTACTTATTATGATACTCATATAGATATATATTATAATCCACACAAGGCTGATCCATACTGCGCAGCAAATATATCACAGCTCATTTATTGTTATAAAAACAAACAAAAGTTTACTGATTGTCCGCAATTAAATAGACGGAAATCTAGAAATTCAAAGAGAGCGGGATAATTAGAACGAATGAATCCGAATTGTTGTGATGCCATTTAGCCCCGGGGTGGCTTTAAAATGATGCCGAAGTATTATCACAAGAAATGGACTCAACTATCAACAAAGGATTGCTCAACTGAAAATAACGCGAATGTCTTCCATCCATAACTAATTGGTTTCCCCCGGATTACAGACTACCCATTACCGATTGCGAGCATTGAATGACGTCAATAAAAGTTGTTAGATGCCACTAGTAAACATTTACCGACCA